AAGAATAAAAACAGCACTTTCCCCATAAGGCTGACAGGAACATCAACTGACACACAGGTAAGGGTTTCTCAGCCTTGGCACTACTGACACTCGGGGCTGGGTAATTCTTTGTTTTGGGGGGAGCTGTCCTATGCACTGTAGCATGTTCAGCAGCCCCCCCGGCTTCTACCCGCTACAGGCCAGTGGCACCCTCCAGCTATGACAACCAAAAGTGTCTCCAGACATTGCCATATGTCTCCCTGGGAGGCAAAATCGCCACTAGCTGAGAACCACCGGGGTAGGTGCAGCCGTTGGCACAGTGCCTGTGTAGGTAAGGGTTATGACAATAACAGGTGTAATTACTGTCCGCCTGCCAGCCTGGGATCCTTGAGGACAGACAGGATTGCCTAGTCCATGGGTCTGCGGACCCGGCCCAGCAGGTGCTCCATAAAGATTAAGATGGATCGATGAGTGAATGGTGAGGAAGTGGACAGAACAGAGAGAGAGATGGATGGGCCAGCAGATGGACAGACGGACATCTGATCCCAACAGTCTCTCCGACCAGAGAAATCCAATCCCTCCCCCACAGCGACCTGGAGGTTCCCCGAGCAGAATAGTTTAGGTACAAATGTAAGAAACCCTTGCTTCAGCTGATCAACTGCAGCGGGAGCCCCAGGTGTGCCCTCCCTCCCCAGGGCGGGGAGTCCCCGACTTCCTCTGAGAGGTGATGGCCAAAGGGAGGCCACTGGGGAGGGACCCAGCCCCTCCTGCTGGGGCTTTGGGGGTCCCAGGGGCCCACGCCAGCAGGGGCGGACTCCTCTGGCACAGACTCCTTCCCCAGGTGTGGAGAAACAAGCGCTCGTTGAGCCCACCTGGCGTCACGTTTAAGCCTCACATCCACCTCCCTATTACGTAACCGGGACTGGGCGAGTCAGAGGCAAAGCGATGCACCCACAGTCGTGCAGCTGATGGGACAGGGTGGATCTGAACCCAGCTCTGTCCATGCCTACGCTCTCCACTGAGCCCTGCCCCTCCTGCAAGTGGCTTGAGCCCTCGGTCATTCTGCCCTGTGATGACAAATTAACAAAGGAAACACGGGGGTTGGGTGGGAAGCTGTATTCGTGGCTCAAAAAATCAGTTAGGGGATTCCCAATCAGCATTTTATTTTGTGTTTTGAATTGCTGTTCCATATATTTAATAATGTTGTTATAATATTAACAAAATCACACTGGGTGTTACTTTTGGCATTATAATACCAAATAAAATACACTTGGTATTAAATTATTTCAGATACTTAAAAATATTTATAGTATAATCTGATATAATTTTAATATCCTATTTGACACTTCTGTTCCAGGTATATAGATATTGTGTGTGTGCATGTGTGTGTAGAATCTTCTGCTCCCCGCTTGCTCCTTCCATTCCAGCCACGCTGTGCTGGTCTCCTTCCTGTACCATGAATGTGCTAGATCTGCTCCTGCCTCAGGACCTTTGCACTTGCAATTCCAGGGCTTAGAACGTTCTTCCCTCAGGTATCTTCTTCCACTCTCACCTCCCGCAGGTCTTTACGTCATCTCTCAGTGAAGCTGCCATGAAGACACCCTGAGACTCCGTTTGCCTTGCCTACTTCATATCAGCATGTGATGCTGTATGTTATTTCTTTTCCTGTCTCCTCTACTAGAATATGACCCCCATAAGAACAGGTATTTTTGCTTGTTTTGTTCACTTTTGTCTTCCCCAGCAACCCAGTGCAGTGCCTGGCACACAGTAGGCATCTTATAAGCTGTTGTTGAACACACACACATAGACACACACACTCCTCTTGTTATGTCTATGGGCTGTGGCTTTAAATGTTTAGAAAATACTGGAATAAGTGACCACAAAGTCCCTGCCCACTACTTTGGGGGTACCAGGTACGGGCCCATCATGGCGTACAGGGTTTGCCTAACCTCTCGGTGCCCTTGGTCCCTGCCCAATTGAATCTGCCGGGCAGGGGGTGGGGGTGGGGGGTTCCCTTTACGCAAGGATGGCGTCACTGCACTGACAAAGGTTTTAGAGTCAGACCACCTGGGTTCAGCTCAGACTCCAGCTCACCCAGGCACTGGCTGTATGAGTGTCACGTTATTTGTCCCCAAGCTTCAGTTTCCTGATCTGCAAAATGAGGCAATGACAGTGACCACCTCCCGGGGCTGCTGGGAGGCTGGAGAGAATTACCACCCAGGAAGCGCCCGGTGCAAGGTGTGTGCTCGCTAAATACCAGCTGTTCTTATGACGAGGAGTCTACTTACTGTTGTCGCCATCATTACATAATCATTATCACCATTATCATCACGATGATTATTAGGATCGCAGCCCTGTCAGAGCCCAGCCCCTGCCCCGGCGTGAGATGGGCAGTCCTCCCCAACTCACAGGCCAGGCCCGGCCCCAGGCCGCTCAGGTCACCTCTGTGCCTTCTCCCTTTAAGAGTATTAGTACACATAGCTTCAGTTACCCCACTGACGGACACCTACATGTCCAGTGCACAGCTCCTGGCAGCCCCTGGGCCAGGAGGTTGCAGGAAAAGTAAGACATGGTCCTTAGGCGTTTGGGAGCTCAGTGCGGAGGGAGGGAGGCAGATTCAGCAAGAGAAAACCTAAAACCCGAGAGACGTAGATGGTGCGGAGAGAAAGGGGGCTCATGCTCGCTGCGGCTCCAGGAAAGACTCTGGGCGTGAGGCTGCCCTTGCACCAAGCCTTGAAGGACGAGAAAAGGCCTGCCAGGCCCAGGTGGAGCTGGGGTGGTAGGATTACTCCAGGCTGGGGCTGCAGCAGGAGCAGAGAACAGACAGCAAGTGACCCAGTGGGACGGAAGACCTGAGCAAGGACGCAGGGGTCACAGACAGCTGACAAGGTGCTTGTGGGAACCCCCTTCTCGGGAATTTGAATTTTATTTGGGAAGATGATGGGGAGCTCTTGAAGAATCAGAAAATGGTGAAGAGCTCGGTGCGACCAGATGACACTAGCCAGCACTATCAGATGGAGCTGGAATAATAAATGTTTGTCAAATATTTGCTGAACAGAACAGAATTGATTTAGCTGTAAAATATTTTTTTCCCACTTCCCATATTTGGCCCTCTTGGTGGGTAGGAGAAAGGGAGCGGGTGCTCATGGCAGCAGGGGCCAGGGCACCATCCTGGGACCCAGTCATGGATCAGGAGACAGGTGTGCTTGTCCCCAAGGCCCGCCCCCTGCCAGCAGGCTGCTCTCCCTCCAGGCAATCAGTCTTGCTCCCTATCATCAGGAGGCCCAGCCCAGGATAATTGGGAGTTGAACGGAGCCCTTCCTAACAACAGATGGCATGATTGGAGCTCGTCACTTATGCCTCTGACATTCCTGGACACACCCAGTCCTCGGGAGAACCAGCCCAAGCAGGGGCAGGAGGCAGAGGATCCTGGGGAGCCACCCATCGCCTTGGAGAAGGAGGGTCTGCCATGCTGACCCCTGGCCTGGGGTCCAGGGTGGGGAAACTCAGCAGTCGGCTCTACCCAGCAGGGGACCAGAGCACAACAGTCTGTCCTGCCAACACCTCGCGATGACAAGTGCTCTGTCGTTGAGCAATTGATAACCACATGCCAGTGGCTGACACATACTTAATTTGCAACAGGTCGGGAGAGGGTGTACTCGTTTTCCCCATGTTTATTGATGAAGAAACTGAGCCACAGAGACACCATGTCACTTAACTAACCTCACGGTCTAAGTGGCAGGGCTGGGGCTCAAACTCAGATCAGGCTGGTGACAAAGCGCTGGCTCCCCGAAGGGGCCAGTGGGGAAACAGCCTTGGGTCCAGCGCTTCCCGGGCGGGGCCTGGGTTCCACCTGCCGCGTCTGAGGCCCCACTGCCAGAGTTGCCAAACCAAACACGGGAATTGAATTCAAACTACACTGAATTTCAGATAAACAATGAATAATTTTGTTAGCATAAGTATGCATTTTTCTTTTTCTTTTTTGGCTAAATCTGGCAACCCTGCCACTGCTCGAGGATCAGACTCATGGCCTGGCCCCTTCCACGCAACCTCAGTTCCCCACCCTTGATTTACGAGCTTCAGCCCCAAGTGCACCTCAGTCCCCAGAGCCCATCTGCTCACCTCTCTGGGGGATCTTAGCCAGACAGGCAAAGGAGGAACCCTCGCCCTGAGCCTCCTCTCAGGGCGAAAGGAGGAAAGGGTGAGGAGGAAATTACTTCCATTTTGTAGACAAGAAACCTGAGCAGAGGGGTGAGTCCCCTCACCTGGGGCCAGCCTGCTCCAAAGGTAGGGCCCTCCCCCAGCCCCCAGTCACCCTCAGAAGGACACGCAGGAGCAGGAAGCCCTGGGCACGGTACCTATGGCAGGCTGCGGAGGTGGGTTGGAGGAAGCCATCAGACAAGGTCCAGCTCAGGCCAGCACCGTCCCAGCCGCACGCCTGTGGGAAGAAGGCCAGAAACCTAATTAGAAAGATCTCGGGCTGAAGTTTCAGCAACAGAGATGAGTCCCTGGCTCTCAACCTGTGCACTCCAACCCAGCAGCTCTCACGCTCCTTCCCGGCAGCTCCCAGGGCGTGGGGCAGCCCCAGAAAGGGCCCAGCCTCCAAGCATCATAAATCATCAACCCGTAGAAAAACCGGCAGCTGCACAGCCAAAAACCCCATCTTCCCAGAAAACCCCTGCAGCCGCAGACCTTCCTGTTGCCAGTACCAAGGGACCCAGGGGAGCCTGCTGGGTCCAGTGGGCTCCCCTCCTTGTCCTCTCCAGCTTACAGGTAAGCCTCAGCCCCAGAGTCCAGGATCACGCGCAGGCCCCCACGTTCCAGAAGCCAGATCACACCTGAACCATCGCGGACGAGGCTGGACGCGCCTCCCCCGGCTGCCCAGGAACCGCGGGCTCCCTCAGGTCTGGCCACTCTCACCATTCTCCTCCCGTGGTCCCGCTGAAGGCCACGCTCTCTTTGACTCTCCTTGTCCTGCCCCACGGATTGGCCAGCTGGCAAGGGGTCCCCTGGTCTTGGCACATGGGTGTAAGGAAGTCAAGGGCTGCTGAGGCCGATGTCACAAGATGTGGGCAGAATCCCAAATGCTCGTGCTGGGCAGAGTTTCTCCCTGCCCAAGGCGGCACTGCCCTCACCTCCCAGCGGAGGCTCATACAACCAAGAAGCCGGTGTCTCCAACAGGCTTCCTGGGCCCTGCAGCCGTCCTTGCGTGACATTCCCTGCCACGCAGCGAGGGAAAGAGTTCTCACTCCCTACTGCCACCTCTGATCCTGAGCTGGAGGCTGCCCTTCTAGACTCCCCCGAGGAGGGAATCTGTGCTGGCGGGAAAGCACCGAGCCCTCCAGACTAACCTACCCCTGCCACACACTGGCAGTGGGCTTGTTTACTTTTCCTTTCCTAAAGCCTTTATTTTTGTTAACTGGCTTACCAAATAAAAATGGAAAGCGTGTATATGGCAATATTAGTAATATTAAACACTTGTGTAGTGCCTACTACATCTCAGACATTATTCTAAGCACTTTGCAAATATTAACATATATTAATCCAAACTATAAATGAGAAAAATGAGGCCCAGAGTGGTTAAGTAACTTGTCTAAGATCACACAGCCAGGAAGAGCCAAGGTTCGAACCCAGGCCATGGAGACCCAGAGTCTGTGCTCATTATGCAATGACGATGCTCTAACGTCTCTCAAAATTCAAACAACGCAAAGGGTGTGCAATAAAACGTAAGTCGCCCTCCCACTCCAGTTGCCCTGATCCCCGGGAAGTGACCACTGTTACTAGTTTCTCAGGAATCCTTCCAGAACTATTCCACGTACAGGCCAGACACAGACGTGCACGTCTGCGTGTGTGCCCTGTTTTATACAGAAGGAAGCACATGGCTCCCAGCGGGATGCAACTGCCTTTTTAAATTAAGTCTTGGTGATGATTTCAGAACAGTATGTAGAAATCAGCCTCACTTTTTTTTTTTAACACTTACATAGTATTTTTTTTTGATGTACCATAATTTATTATATATAACCCCTATCAAGGGACACTGAGGTTGCTTTGGCCTTTTGGTGTCATGTTATAAACAATGCAGCCACTGACATCCCGCACACACGGAGCCTGGAACAGGTGGAAGAGTGGGTCTGTGGGGCACTCCTAGAAGCAGATCTGCTGGGTCCAAGAAGAAAAATGCATTTTCCATTATGACCGACGCCACAGGACGCTCTCCACTAACCGTGAGACTGTGTCTTTTAAACCCACACTGAAAACTCTCAGGACTAAAATGTTCTCTTCAGCAAAGAGCTTGGGAAAGAAAGCTGAAACGTCTGCAAACCCCTTTGCAAGCTGAAAGATCAAACAGCTGCACAGCAGTCCTCCTGCAGCGGCCCCTCTCTGTGGGCTCATTCGAGACCACCCAGGTCTGCTGGGCCTTTCTCTGAGGGCTCTGGGGGTGCCCCAAGAGCTCGGAGAGGGAAGAACTGGGGACACTTATACCCATTTTACAGAAGGAAAAAGGCAGGCATCTCGCCCAGCTCTGTGTACAAACTCCTCTTTAAATACAATTTGATGATGATGCAGAAAGAGACTGCTACTTCATCCTGGAGCCAAAATCCAGGATCCTTCCCTCCCAGGCCAGAAAGTCTGACGTCCTCCCCTTTCTCCTCACCCTTCAGGGCTGATTCTCACCCTCCACGTCAAGCCCAAGGGTCTCCCTAGAAGGAACAGAGATAACGACATTTATGGAGCCTGAAGCTCTATTCGTGTTATTCCGTCTAATTCTCACAACACCCCATTTTATAGAGGAGGAAACAGGCTCAGAGAAGTAAAGACTTGCCCCAGGTCACAGAAGTAAGAGGACCAGGTGACAACACTTGGACGCAACCGGGGAGCACTGACCTCAAAGCCTAATCTCAATCCTCTGATCACTCTGCCTTCCTGGACGTCAGGGCTGGAATCTGGGAGGCATCCGCTATAGGCTAATCGGGGCTCCTGAAGCCCAAGGACATAGGCCTGTGGCCACCATTTTGCACACACATGCCACTAGTCTCAGAAGGAAGTGGGCAAGGGAGAGGGGGTGGCTCGGAGCAGCCCTTTGCCTCCTCTGTAGACCCTCAAGGGGTCAGAAAAGAGTTCAGGCTACCTGGTATCACCTGGGTTCTACTTAGTAGCTATGAGACCTTGGATGAGTTACCTAAACTCATCTCTGGGCCTCAGTTTACTCAGCTGCAAAATGAGGATTTATACTAGTAGCCACCTCACAGAGTTAGTAGGAAAATTAAGAGTAAACACATGTAACGCTCTTGGAAGGATCTCTGGAACACACTGGTCTGTGACTGTCGTTAACATTCATCGTTTCACCCAAGGCACAGGGCGCAGGCTGTGACGACCGCAGCTCCACCTTGGGAGTCGGGGACCCAGGCTGGAGTCCCATCTCACCACTGGCGGGCAAGCCGAGCCTCGGTGTCCCCACCTGAAAGGTGCCGGTCCTACTACCTGCCCCAGAGGACTGTCTGCAGGATATGTGAGGTCAACAACAAGTTCTGGGCAGATTCGGTCAGTGCCAAGATGCCCGCCCTTAAGCTGGCATCACCAAAATGGGTGACAGCAAATGGGACCCCGTTTGGGGATTCTGCACCCCAGGAATACAAAGGACCCCACAGAAGGTTTGCTGGGGGACCCTGGGAGCCTAGAACTTCACAATCTGGGGTGGCAGGATCCACTCGCAGGCTGGCTCTGCCTCGCGCCCTCTGTGTGACCGCAGGAAGCACCTGCCCAGACCGTCTGCTGGGCTGCCACACGCAAGAGGCCAACGAGGTAGTGGGTGTGAAGACACTAAGCAAACACAAGGGTTCCAGAAGCTGCTCGCCTATTTCCGCATTGCTGTTTTTCAAGTCTTCCTTGAGCTACGCATGGTCTGGAAGCTTGCAAGGTGGGAGGCTGAGCCAAAAGACCTGTGTCATGACGCCCCTGAGACAGAGCTCTCTCTGAAACGCAGTCCAGAACCTTCCTGCCACCACAGTCCCTGGCAAGAGAGGCAGTCAGGCTGGTGACGGACAGTCGACTGAAACCAAAGGTGGCCGGCGGAGCACAGGATTACCTCCGCTGCGCGATTCCGACCACGTTTTAAAAGCACGTAGAGGAAAAGGGCTGGAAGGAAATCCGTGCAGATGTTAACAGAGTCGCACCTGGGTGGTAGGGTTATAGATTTTCTTTTTACTTTCTATTTTTCTGAATTTCCCAGATCTTCTACAGTGAGCTCTATGAGGGAAAATCAAAATAACCATTCTCATTTTTAAAAAGAGAACGAACACAAAAGCATCACGGCATGTCAGAACCAGAAAGCGGCTCCCACACTGTGGTGTTGCTCTCGCTTTACAGATGCAGAAACAGAGTCCAATGGCGGGAAGGGACTTGCCTGCACCTAGAGAGCTGGTGACAGTGAAGGCCACGGTTAGAGCAGGGGATTTGGTGCCAAGATGATCCAAGTTCAAATCCCAGCTCTGCCACTTGCTGGCAGTAACAGGTAATAGCTTTCTCACCTCAACGGTGGGAGTGATACTAGCACCTGCCTCGCGGATGTCCTGGGCTACTGAGGATTCAGTGGCAGGTGGGACAAACTCCACAGTGCCCAGCACAGAGTCAGCTCCAGGCAAACAGTGGCCACCGCCATCATGGTGATACTAACCATGCTATGCTTGGGTGGTGGGGTCACAGGAGACTGTCGTCTCTTGGGGGTCACCTTCTGACAAATGGACAGGCAGGCAGACCCCTGAACAGTTCTCTTTCTCCATACACTGTGCAGAACGTCTAGAAGGAGACCACTCTTTCTGGCGGTGCTCAGACAGGGCGAGCTGCACGGGAACAAGGGAGGAGGCCCCCAGCCCCAGGCTGCAGGTGTGCCGCCAGAGGCCTGGAGCAGGCTGAGCTCAGTGACAGGACCACCACCAAGAGCAGATCAGCATCAGCACCTCCCACCACCCGCAGCTGCCCAAGTTCACCGGAGCAGGTGTCTTTCTGCTCTGTCTAATTCAAGCAGAGCGCTTATCTGTTCCCTTTCCTTAGGGTTCAAAGTCCATCCCGCCCAGAGGCCCCATTAGGAACCCCTCCTCCCACCTGCACCTGCCCCTCCTCACTAGCCTGTGAGACTCACCCCATTCTGGACCATCTCCCACCTCCCAGCCAATCAAATGACTCCGATCCCTCTTCCACCTGAATGAGGCCTGGAGACATACACCGGGAGGGCCCTCAAGGTCAGGCGAGCTGCACAAGGACAGGGAAGGCTGGTCCTGGGGAGAGGCCAGTGCCGGTGGGGAGGTCCAGGAAGGCAGGTGGGGGGGTCCGTCCCAGAAGCCGGGAGGCAGCAGATGCCAGCATATCCAAGCGGGGCAGCCTTGCCCGAGGGAGAGTGGCTGCCACCCACCCTGGCACAGAGGGAAACAGGAGTAGGTCCTTCCCAGGCACCCATCTCCAGCTCTGGCCTCAGAGGCACTCTGGAGGCATCTGTCTCCTGGAAGTCAGCAAGAAAGTGGGGGGTGGGAAAAGACTAGGT